ATCATCATCATCATCATCATCATCATCATCATCATCATCATCATCATCATCATCATCATCATCATCATCATCATCATCATCATCATCATCATCATCATCATCATCATCATCATCATCATTGTATAAAGCAGATATTAAAACAGTTCAGACCTGGTAGTGTTTCCAATAAATATTTTATCCAAAGTTCAACGTTTCGCCCTCAACGGGCTTCCTCGGGAACATTCACAAAATAAATGACAAGAATCTAGATCTACACAAACTATAAAAACTAGAGTGCGTACATACATGTCCCAACACTTAAGGGGGGGGGGGGGGGGGGCTACACCTGGAGGCTTATCTCGCTTACTACTGGACCGAATATTACCAAATTTCACACATATAACAAGCATAGTAAGGAGTCTTAAAATCCGTAATCAAATTTGAGAAAAAAGTTTCGTTTCCATATATACGCCGCCATATTGGATTTTTATTGACATGTCTTACGTAATGAATACCGATCGCTCATGGAAATTGATTGTTTTTTTGCATGCGTGTTCACAAACATTAGATCTAAAAATTGGTCTGTTGTTTTTTTCCTAATCGAATTAGGAAATGTTTTATGAATTTTTTCCTGAGGTAGCATTCAAGTTTGCGAAAAATCCGTGAAAATCCACACTCCAGACACCACCACCAAAATCTCTTCCATATATCAAAAATTCAAAAGACAAATTTTTTGTATTACCTCTTCTCTCCACACTGTGAAAATTTCATGAAGGTTGGATGAAAAATGGTGGAGTTATTAAAAAAAGTATAGAGAAAAGTCGCATTTTGAGAAAACGGCCGATAAAGAAAAATAAAATACTGACTTTATGAGGAAATGGCGTTTACAAACATGCCCGGTATGGGAAAAAATACGGTTTATGGGTGTTCTTATGCCATGAAATAGTTGTAGGAGAGGCTGAGGAAGCTAAAAATGCTTACAACTCAAATTCCATGATTTTGAGCCGAATTTTGATTTTGGAGGTGCCCCCCGCCCCTTAAAGGAGCGGTGAATACAAATCGCAAAGGCCAGAGAGAAGGGAACACTAGGGCCAGAGGTGAGAGAGAGAGAGAGAGAGAGAGAGAGAGAGAGAGAGAGAGAGAGAGAGAGAGAGAGAGAGAGAGAGAGAGAGAGAGAGAGAGAGAGAGAGAGAGAGAGAGAGAGAGAGAGAGAGAGAGAGAGAGAGAGGGGGGGACATATGCATGGAGATAAGGAATAGAATAACGGAAGGGTGCGTGAGTCGAAAAGGCCAGAGGAAGGGAAACACGAAGGCAAAAAGTCGGGGAGAGAGAGAGAGAGAGAGAGAGAGAGAGAGAGAGAGAGAGAGAGAGAGAGAGAGAGGAGTGGGGGAACTAGTACGTGGAAGTAAGGAATACAACTGAAAGGCAGGGCCAAAGGGAGGGGCCAAAGGGAGGGGGTTACAGGAACATAAGGGGTATTTAGTACATTGCTTTGTAAATTTAAGGCCTTAAAATGGGGCTTGTCGATCTTTAGGCCAGAGAGAATTTTGTGAGACCCCAAGTTCCAAATCCACATTGATTCTTTTTGGTTAAGGGGGGGGCTACACCCCCAAAATCAAAATTCGGCTCAAAATCATGGAATTTGAGTTGTAGGCATTTTTAGCTTCCTCAGCCTTTCCTACAACTATTTCATGGCATAAGAACACCCATAAACCGTATTTTTTTCCCATACTTGGCATGTTTGTTACCGCCATTTCCTCATAAAGTCAGTTTTTTATTTTTCTTTATCGGCCGATTTCTCAAAATGCGACTTTTCTCTATACTTTTTTTAATAACTCCACCATTTCTCATCCAATCTTCATGAAATTTTCACAGAATGGAGAGAAGAGGTGATACAAAAAATTTGTCTTTTGAATTATTGATATATGGAATAGATTTTTGTTGATGGTGTCTGGAGTGTGGATTTTCACGGATTTTTCGCAAACTTGAATGCTACCTCAGGAAAAAATTCATAAACAATTTTCTAATTCGATTAGGAAAAAACAACAGACAAATTTTTAGATCTAATGTTTGTAAACACGCATGCAAAAAAACCAATCAATTTCCATGAGCGATAAGTGCGGTATTCATTACGTAAGACATGTCAATAAAATCCAATATGGCGGCGTATATAGGGAAACGAAACTTTTTTCTCAAATTTGATTACGGATTTTAAGACTCCTTACTATGCTTGTTATATGTGTGAAATTTGGTAAAATTCGGTCCAGTAATAAGCGAGATAGCCTCCAGGTGTAGCCCCCCCCCCCCCCCTCTTAAGTTTTTCTTTAGTTGGATATTGGACTATTTCAATACCCTGAAGCTGCAAATCGGAGGCTCCATTGTGACCAGGACTGTTGAAATGTTGGCCAACTGGTGTGCTAGAGTTTTTGTGAACTGAATACCTATGGTTATTAAACTTAGCTCTTAGTGTGGTGGTAGTTTGACCTACATATTGAGCTGGACAGACTTTACAAGATATGAGGTAGATTACAGCTTCACATCATCATCATCATCATCATCATCATCATCATCATCATCATCATCATCATTGTATAAAGATGGTATTAAAACAGTTAAGACCTTGTTGTATTTCCCCAAAAAAATATATATTTCACCATCAAAATCATCATCATCATCATCATCATCATCATCATCATCATCAGCATCATCATCATCATCATCATCGCCATTATGTACGCTTACTTGTTTACTTGTGTGAAGCACTGACATCATTGCACAAGGGGCATCCCCATAAGCGCTCCGTCCCCTGAAGAAGCACATCTCGAAGTGTGTAGATGCTGACGGTTCCAAGCAATGGTTGATTCCATAGCCTTCTGCTCATCCCACTAAGTCGTGAACTTCTGCAGGAGTCTCATCCAATTCCAAGCTCACGAAGTCGCTCAAGATTATGGTATTCCGACTCTTCTTGTTCTTTTTCTTGTTTTTCCCTGACTTTTTCAATTTTTGTCAGGGCACAGCTTCCCTTCAGATTTTGCGTTCCCAGCGAGCTCATCAGATTGCTCATTGCCCTTGACTCCAGCATGGCCCGGGGTGAAAATCCACGTGAACATTTTCAGTGTTGTCTTCTTCAGGAGCTCTGTCCATTTAGCTCCAAGGCTCCCACTTTCAATCTTCCTCAGATTGCTCGGAGAGTCTGTGACAAAGATCACATGTGCATGACGAGTTATTGTGACCCATTTGAGAGCCTGAGCGATTGCCTCTATCTCCATTCTCAAACTAGATATTGTCATACCGTATTCTCTCTGCTGTTCCTGCACCAATCTGCCACTCACTCTTGCTGAGAAGCCCCATCCAGATTTTCCTCCTCGTTTAACAGATCCATCCGTGTATACAACCACATCTCCGCGCCGTGAGTTTTCTTCAATCAGTTGTCGTATCTCAGCATCTGTCGCCCCCCTGCGGCCACTCTCTACATTCTCTGTTCAGCGTAATCACTAACTTCCCAAAATCTCGCTGCTGTCTCTCATTCATATTTATCCATTCTTCATCCCACTTTATATCTTCCAGTAGGCAGACTTCTTTGATGGTGTTTTCAGCCTCAGCCATCTGAGAAGCTCCTCGTTTTAGGCGATTTCCTTTGATTGCTCCAATGGCTTCGTGAAGTGGGTGTTGCTTATCAGCCTCCACCCTCATGTACGCCCTGACCCGAGCCACCTTGTGTCTGTTTCCACTGACATGAGGCCCAATACATGCCTCATACAGGTAATTGGTGTATCCCTGGTTCAGCCTAGTATGATGCGCATGGCTTCATTTTGAACTCGTTCCAACTTTTCCAGTTGGGTTTTTGTCATTATGTAAGTACGTTGTACGAGCGTATGTGTGTGCATGCGTATGTACAGAGTGTCTGAAAAAAACATACTTTAAGTGCAGTAACTTGTTCATCTTTAAACCAATTTTAACCAAAATTTGAACAAATTAAATTCAACTAGGGGGACTTTAAGTTTGTAATATATAAAGAAAATCACTCAACGTGTTCGAGAAATATCAACTCTTAAATATTTTTTGCCCAAACTGAGATAAACGCAATTTTTTAACTTCTTAATCAAAAGTGTTCCGCTACAGAGGAGTGATCGGCCTGTTCTTGTTTCACGACAAGATCGAAAAACCACGACATCCACATCAGATAGGTGTCTCACCGTGCTGAGAAAGTTTCAGAGAAGTTTGGGGTGTAGAAGGTATTATCCTGTAGAGGCCTGGTTCCAGATGGACGTAAAGAGTGGCCCTTGTATGGTTGCAAAAAAGGTTTGGGAAACGCCGTACGAGCCGAAAGTTTACAAAAGAATGGTCAGTACCTTCATTGCAACTTGGGCCCCTTCAATTACTACCTTTGGACTTTTGGCTCTTTTGTTTATTTCTTTTTGTTTTGTTGTTGTTGTTTGTTTGGGTTTGGTTTTTTTGGTCCTTGGTCCTTATTGGGTTTTTTGGGGGGTTTTTTTTTTTTTTTTTTGGGGGGGGGGGGGGGGGGTGTTCGTTGTTGTTTTTTTGGGTTTATTTGTTGTTATTTTTTTGTGGGGGGGGGGGGGAGATCTACTTGGATTTTTTTTCAGAGTCTATGGAATTAACTCACAAACAATTGCTCATTTGAAATTCAATGTTGAACAGGACGTCCAAGGAATCAACCCACAAAATGCCAACGGGTTATTCAAAATTTCCAGTGATATATTGAAGCTTGTATGGAGAAAAATGGCCCTCACCTCCTTGAGTTTTTTTGGCAATATAGCGTTTCCATAAAATTTGTTCGTCAATGTACATCATGACTATTTGAAATAGGACAATAATAGTTGATTTTTAAGAAGTTGCAAAGTTTTGCGTTTCACTTAGATTAGGTCGAAATTCTAAAAACTTTATAATTTTCGAAAACGTCAGTCGATTTTTTTTTTCATTTTGACAAATGCAAAGACCAAGTTAAATTTTATTTGTTCGAAAATTTATTGAAGTTGGTCCAAAGATAACCGAGTTATTGCCCTTTAAATGGGTCCTCTTTTTTTGTTTTGGACACCTTGTGCCCTGGAACATGATATGGATGGATGGGGGGGAGATTTGCGAGGATAGTTGGATGAATGGAATGTTTTAAAAAATTAATAACTTCTCAAACTAAAAGAAACGTTTTTGCCTCTTCTCGTCCACAGACATAATGGCGTCACGAGGATCAGATGACACAATAAATTTATTTCTCATCGGGAAAACTGGTCATGGAAAGAGTTCTTCCGGAAATTCTATTTTGGGGCGAGAAGCGTTTTATGTATCGGATAACACACAGTCAGACACCGCTCATATTCAGGTTGGCTTTGGCCGACAGCAAGGAAGGAAGGTCATGGTAGTCGATGGTCCAGGGACTAGTGAAACCCGCATGGGGATGGGAGATGCAGCAATGAAAATGGTACAAGACATGGAACAAGGAATATGCCTGTGCCCTCAGGGTATTCACGCCATGCTTCTTGTTATGAAATATGGGAACCGTTTTACAGCCGAAGAGCTGGGTACAATAGAGACCCTTAAGTCTGTGTTTGGGCCAACTTTTGTGAAAGACTTTTGCATCGTACTGTTCACCCATGGAGATGTCTTTGACACGCACAACAAAAGACAGAACCCACGTACCACGTTTGAAGACTGGTGTCACCAGCAAATTGGAAAAATACAAGACTTGTTTAAAGAGTGTGACAATAGGGTAGTACTTTTTAACAATTTTAACACAAAAGCAATGGAAGATCAACGAAAAATCCTGTTTGGACTGGTGGACGGTTTAAAGAGCAAGGGTAAGCCTTACACAAAGGAAGATTTCGATAAAGTCGCCTTGGGAAGAGAGCAGCTGATCGTTAGGGCGAACGCCTCACGAATGAGGCGTGAGATTCAGGACAAGATTGATTACCTCGTTGGTAGATTGAACAGCCTAAGCCAGTGCACTGTGCTGGATCCTGTAACCAGCGGAAAGTTCGAACAGCTCATGAAAGATGCCATAGGTCTTGAGGAGGAAATAAACATTCGAGACAAAGGTACGGGAGTCTTACAGCACCTTCGTCAGGTTGTGCAAGCCACACAACGTAACATTGAAAGTCAGGTTAAAGTCACACAGTCCATGCTGAGGGAGCAGGAGAAAAATACGGAAATGGAGCTGCTACAGAATAGGCTAAAAGAGATTGCGAAACGATTTGAATAGTAAGGGGAAAAAAAGAGTTGGAAAGATTATCTGGGTCATCTTTTTGGAAGAAGCAACCATGACTGCCGCTGGTGGATTGTTGTTGGAGATCAGGGTTAGGTCGTCTAGGCAATGAAGGTTTCAAATCTGCTCGTGTATTTTTGGGCGCAAAAAAAAAACCTCTTAACTAACCCCCCCCCCCCCCCCCCAAAAAAAAAAAAAACAACCCCAAAAAACCCTCACCAAAGCAAAAAAACCACCCCCCCCCCCCCCCAAGCAAATAAACAAATAACTAATAAACTAATTTTTAAAAATAAATAAATAAATAATTTTTTCACAAATGATAATATTAGAATTTTTAATAAATTATTTTTTTAATATACGAAATTTAAATACCCCCCCCCCCCCCCCCCCCCCCCCCTTTCCTAAAAACAAAACAAAACATGCAAAACACATAATAAGGATTGTCTGCAGGGAAGAAGAATACGAAAGTACCATTTTAGTTGTTTCCTTTTTCCCTAAGCTTAACATTAACATATTATGTGTGGTGGCAAGGGGAAACTGGGCGTATTATTGTCTTTCTGAATTGGAAAATGTAGAAAATGAGCTTGCATTATATTAATAACTCTAATATCTTCTTGCGAATTGCTGTATGGCTAGATATAACTTTGTATTTCTGAGGTAGATAGATAGACTGAATGAATGGCTCGGATACCCCCCCCCCCCTTTCCTCCCTCAATGACCATATATGTTTCATCAGTAGGGGCTCCATTGCGTACATTGAGGGTTGCAGGCCTGGCCTCATATTTGTAAAATTATCAACAGCAACAACACAATAATACACACACACACAACAACAACAACAATAACAACAACAACAACAACAACAACAACAACAACAACAACAACAACAACAACCAAAAATAAAGGGTGACCTTATTTAGGCCACATATGGCCCAAATAAGCTAACCCCCCCCCTCCCTTACCTTATTTAGGCCACATCATATGGTAGATTTCTTGAACTAACCATGGATCCGGAAGGTCAAGATTCTACTGATCTTTTTATTTAGTGCGGGGGATTATTTAAAAAAAGGGGATGATACTAAATTAAAAGTGGACCAATGGTAAGAGTCGTGTGTCTGTGTGTGTGTGTGTGTGTGTATGTGTGTGTGTGTGTGTGTGTGTGTGTGTGTGTGTGTGTGTGTGTGTGTGTAATGTGTGAATGTTATTGTGTGCATGAGTGTATCTCAGTTGTACGGTCCAAATGCACATTATTTTGTTGAGAATTTTACATAAAACTCAACTACAAAACACCTTTATACAAAGTCACAGAAATATTATTTTTGTGCTTATTGAGGTACAGTACAGGATGATTTTACCTGCAAAGATAATTGGACAAAATGGGCAATATCTTTATTTTGCTAATGGTCATATTTAGACAAATCCTATATCATTCTCTTTTTTTTTTTCTTAACTGCTCATGGTTATTAAAAAGTAAGCCAACTAGATCAAGGTAGTAATTTCGGATTCCTAATATTCTGGGCATTCTTAAAAGTTTTTAACTTGTTTTTAGCGCTTTTCTCAACGTAAAACTGATTCCGTTAAAAAAAACAACACAACAATGACCATATCTTTCCTTTTCAAAGTTTTGTGCATACATTTGTGTGAAGCTATATTCTATGCTTTCGAGTACATGAAAAAAGCTAATATAGTCAAGCAAAATGTTCTTCAGAGACATAGATCTAGTAGAAGGCCCACTCAAACATTTCGTAAACCATGAAAAGATGACCAGAAAATAACAAAATTATCTTATGATCTTCACTTGGACTTGCAATTTTTCTACCGCATTAGATTTCTATCTTTCTTTTTTTTTTCTTTTTTTTTACATTTTTCTTCCCTATTCATGATAACTGGCATGTATTCAAGTATTGTTTTCAGTTATTATCAAGGAAGTGGATAGGCGGCCCACGGGGTCTATCTAGCCAAAAGGATAGGTGGACCTCGGGGTCTACCTAACAAAATGCTAGGTTTTAGGATGTGAACACCGTAGTCAGCTTAGTGAAATAAGTAGATCTAGG